CATCTGTCAAAGAGGATCATAGTACGGGTAATTTGCCAGTTTTCTCAATTTCCTTGCTGGCACCGATGTAGCCCCAATTAATTCCATCCAGCTTTGTTTCTAAAAGGGGTGTTTTATTCAGGCTGGACTACGGTTTTGACCTCGCTGGGACTCGAACCAGGATAGTACAGATTATCTGTTCAACGCTACCTCACGATTTACCATCGGTGCTTGATTAACCTATGCTCCAATTGTTCTCAACAACAATTGTCCGATTATTTATCAGTACTTAGGAATTACTATGCCAATAATGCACACTTTATGTTTTTAATTAATTATGGAATATGTTAAATGAAAGTTTCGACTACAAAAAAACGCAGAGTGTGATATGGGAAAATGCTTGGCCCTCATTGAATGTCCCATCTGTCCTATAGCCCAAGAGAACTTCTGGCAGTGTGACGTGCAGGTTAACGAGATGAGCCCATACGCTGCACTTCTCATGCTCAAGCTCCGCTAGGGCTGCTAATGAGAAAGATATGGAGTCGAAACTGGATTCCACCCTGGGTACCAGTAAGGAAGCAAGGATATGTGAAATTCAATGGAAACGTTAAGCATACTCATATGCTTGTGGGAAAATTTAAATACCAGCCCCTCATCACCTAAGCGAATTAGAGTTAATACACCACATAGAAAAAGAAACCGATTAAGACAGATCAGAAGCCGAGCGGAAAACCGGTTGGAAAGCTTGACTACAAAATCTTGAGATGTGTTCGCCCTATTTCATTTTAAGTGATGAAAAACTTTTAGTTGAATTTTCCCACGATGATATGAGTAGACCATACACTTTTATTCAGTTGTGCATAGCCTTGCTTCACAAAAGGCACTATCATCGTAGATAGACTACAGTTTCGCTTTCGCCTCGGTCGCCCCAGCACCCCCAGCGCCCCCAGCGGGACTCGAACCAGGACAGTGTAGTGTATACTCTCAACACGTTAACCACTGCCGAGAGCACCCTTGGGTCATACATCAGATGTGGCTACAAGGCCGAATATGCATTCACAGCGAGAAAAGGAATTTGCTCTCTTTCACCTAAACCTGCCTCTAACCTCTTCAGAATGGCTAAGACCTTCGCGATTGGTACAGCAGTTGCCGGGTCAAGGGATAAGCCCCACGAGTTTTAACCGGCCTAATGGGCCTGGCAACAGTCACATCAGCTACAGGACACAGTTCCAACCCGCTTGCTGGTGTAAACGCCAACATTTTAGGCCTGGCTCACACTGCCATAGGGGCCAGAGTTGCAGAGCCTGTGCAACTATCAGGTCAAAGTAGGCATGTCAAAACTCACCCTAGCAACAGATGCACTCGAGGTAAGCATGAGCTCACTATGGCCTTCACTACAATACTTCTGTCGTAATAGCGACTGAATGTAAAAGACATCAATGCATTTCTGCTAAAAATACTGTCAAGCTATTGGACTAGGTTACTATATTGTCTTCTCGATATTTTAATTAAAAGGTTTTTCTGTACGAATTAAGTCCATTTTATCTATTTGGATCGACGCTTCGACCTGGCCTGCCCGTAACCCAAGGCTGGGCTTCCTTTCTCAACGGATGCGTTCAAGTTCTGGCAATCAGAGACAGACTTGCCGGTTGGAGAAAGTAGGGCTTGTTTACATGAGTGAGGCTAAATGTGAAATATCAGTGACAAGAAGGAGCAATTCTCCGAATGGTTGGCAGGACTTTTATGCAAATGACGGTCGGTTGATGTGACGAAAGCTTTTCCCATCCAGGCAGGACTTTATTTTT